AGAGAGAGAGAGAGAGAGAGAGAGAGAGAGAGAGAGAGAGAGAGAGAGAGAGAGAGAGAGAGGTGAGGGGGGGTGCAGGGCGATGGAGGGGGATTAGGTAGGGGAGTAACACGAACACGAGAAAGAAGTTACTTGGGTAATTCGCCAAAAGCTGAAATAAAAGGTTCCGGCGAAGAAATCCATTTAAGCTAAATGGGTTGCCTGACGACGGGAAAAGGCGCTTCTGAGGCTGCAATCTCTTTGTCTTTTCTCTCCTTTCAGTCGTTGTACAGCACTTTGCTGTTACTTTACTCTGATTGTCTGCCAGTGTTTATTGAACCAAGATGGAGGGCCGATATACATAGCTTGCGTAAACGCTATGCTGCGATAGAGGCGAAGGGAGCTGTTTGTTTAGTCAAAGCACGATGTTTGGAGTTTGCTGCTAATCTAACACGTTATACTGTTGAAGATGGCTTAGATGTTGGAACGTTACGACATTTTTCTATGGCTGCCAAACGCTAAAACACGAGTTTTTGTCACGCTGAAAGAGTACCCATAATACGATCGTCACGTTTGAGAAATAGATTAAGAGATTTAGGTTACCAGTTGGCGCCTGATTCACATCGTCCACACAGAAATAGAAGACACTGAAAGGCACAATTACAATCTTTAGACTTAATAAACTTGCTGATGGCTAATTATTCGTAACTGAATTTTTTTCTTGAAAACCCGGAAGACTTATTTAAAAAGCTGAAAAGTAACGGTATTTCTTCATTTACTCAATCCCCCGGTTGCATTTCTACTTCTGCTTTGAGTCTAATTCTTTCTTTGTTTTTCTCGTCTCTCTTTCCCAGAGCTATTGTCCAATTAAATTTCCCGTAACTTATCTAAAAGATATTGAAATAATCTCAGCTGATGTTTCTTAACAATGTCCACTGTATCCCATGATGACAGGAAACTGCTGTAATTACATGCCACATTATATAACGACAACTCATGTTTAAGTGAAAATAGTAAATGTCACTAGTTTAGTTTAGATGTGAAACTCTCCAGAAGAAGACGATTTTTATTATCTTCTTTTTCCTCCACCTGTCTCAACATAACGTCGGTTGCACATGTTTGCTTCCTTTCAAAAATTATGTTTGCTGACAACTGCTCAAACATCAATATAACGCAACAGAAATCGTAAGCGTAACCTGCAGTTTCATCGCAGGTATACTGAGACGTGCACCCCCCCCCCCCCAAATCCCTTTTAAGTATGTACACATCAAGGCATGTTTGTTTCGATTTTTTTCTCCTTTCTGTTCATATCCTGTGAAAAGTTCGGCGGGACTGAGAAAGGCTGTGGTGTCGTGGTTAGGCTCTCCAACTTACAAGCAATTAATAAACATGAGTTTAATCCCACACGAGGAAGATAATATTTTGTCTTGTATCTCTGTATTTCTTAGAAATATTATGGTATCCCATTCGGCCTCCGTTGGCCTTTACAGACAAAGGTAAGACAAGCAGACAGACCGATGTTTTGAACGAGCTGAATTGCCTTAAAAAGGGCGAGTACTATTCACAACCATTATTTTCGTGGACAATGGCAAATTACTTCTAGGGCATAATATATGGGTGGTTATAGGGTGCCACTGGTCTGTCCTTCTTCTTTAATTAAGCCCCTTCTATAGCTTATTCTGTCTTTGTACTTCTGTTTATTTATACCCAAGAAAAGAAATGAACGCATTAACCCTGGCTTAGATACTAAGAGCCACTCCTCGGGATCCACTAATGGAGAACATTTACTTGAATAGGGTGATCACTTCACTGAATTCATTATTATGCATGTCATTTGAATACAAACCCCCACACAGGGAGCCACAAAGTTCTCAATTTCTTTATTTTTGAGTGGGGTTTCAGGATGGGAGAGAGGGGGAGGGGGATTATTTATGGGTTATTTTGGCAAAGGGAAGTTAAAGTAGATAGTGGAACATTTCGACTCCCCGCTAAAGAAGACCAAGACGGTTCGGGGAGATGCCACGTTGCCTTAAATAATTACCAATACTGATAAAGGATGCGGTGGCCAATTTAGAAGGCTAGACAGACAGTTATTAGTTTGTTAGTCGTTCATCGTCAATTTGCTTGTGAAAAGAAAATGATGCAAAGGTACGTTTTTGAACATGAAAATAACAAGGACATTCCAGAGCCAGATTCTTGCAAGTTAATAGTTCGTCTTTCGTCTGTGCATCTGTGACAGTTCTCATTTAGAGGATACTGGCAGTGCAATTAATGCCGGGAAGCAAGACGCAAGACGCACTTCTCTCTATGACTACCGGCGACGTCCGGGTGGTGAGAGCAGCTCGTCAAGAAAGGGCTATGTAGCAGACATTGGCACAGGTGGGCATCTCTCTCTCCCTCTCTTTCCCTCTTTCTTTCTCTCTCTCTCACTCTCTCTCTCTCTTTCTCTCTCTCTCCATCTCTCTCAAGTGTCTCTCTCTCCCCAGCTCTCTCTCAAATGTCTCTCTCTCTCCATTTTTCTCTCTGTATTTGAGTGTGTGTATGTGTGTGTGTGTGTGTGTGTGTGTGTGTGTGTGTGTGTGTTTGTGTGTGTGCATGCGTGTGTGCGTGTGTGTGCGTGTGTGTGAGTATTTTTGTAAGTGTGCAAGCTCGAGTTTGTGTGTGTGTGTGTGTTTAAGTATGTGTTTTAGTGTGTATGTTTGAGTGAGTGTGCGTGTGTGTATGCGTGTATGTGTGTTTGTGTGTATGTTTGTATGTATGTATGTATGTATGTATGTATATATATGTGTGTGTGTGTGTGTGTGTGTGTGTGTGTGTGTGTGTGTGTGTGTGTGTGGTGTGCTTACGCTGATCTGTTCGTCCGTGTGTATACGTGTCTAATGTCTCGTGCGTGTATGTGTTTTTGATTTGGTGAATACGTGCTCATGTACACCTCCGTATGCGTGTGTATTTATTTTTATCATGTTTCTCTTTCTTTCTGTACAATAATAGCGCAAACAGCGCAGATACATTCTACAGGTATAGCCACGTTCTTAATTACCCTTTTTCGAAGTCTCTTATCGCTCTTTGCAACATAGTGCCTACGTTGGTACACGAACTGAGCATTATGTATTGACTTTGAAACCCAATGTGGACTCAGTCAGCTGTTTTCTACTTTGAACTAGATTTCTTCAAATTATTTTACTCAAAGTTTGGATGTATAAGGCTGAGACTCTCATGATCGTTGTTTTCCAGTATGTTCTGTACTTGGGTAATTAATTTTAACATCCACAGCTGAACAGATAATTCTGATTTTGCTTCTAAAAGATTAATTAATGTACTATGCTGAATGCATTTTCACAATCCAGTGCTCTTTTCCAAAATAAACTTTGAGCAGGGTTATTGTACTATTTCATTTATAGTTTCGAAAATAAGAATTAAAGATACGTGTAATGTGCGCGTAGAAAAACAACACATGAATCATCCGCTCACAGAAACGAAAGCATCTAGACAACGAGTATTATCAACATATTCCAAACACCAAGAACATTCTTAAACTCTCATACAACATACCCGCGTCTGATTCGCATAGTTCTTAAGTAAGTTGAAAAGACGGACGGAAAATGTCTTCAAGCGCTTTGTACTAGGATACCAGACACGGCATATTAATCCGTGGGTGGTGATTCAAAAGAAGGGTGATAAATCATCCCATTCACTACGTAGGCACAAAGAAATGCCCACATATAGACCTGTCTTTTCATACAGAGAATAATTAGGACATAGTAGCCATAATACTTACAGTCGAATCATCGACGTCAAATCTTGGAATGCACCTTTCTCTACTGTGTGGATCTGATTGTCCAGTAGTTGTCTGGAAATAGACAAAAAAACCAAACAAGAACAAGTTACACAATATTCAGATTGATTTCTTTAGCCAAAACAACAAAGGGCCAATTATCACAGGCAAAACATGAATATGAGCGGTTCGCTGTAAGAATTCACACTATGTCTTGTTTAACTCATTATTGCAATATCTGTACAGAAATGCTGATGTCCATCTCCTTTATTTAATGATTGGTGTGCCGCATATCTTTTTCAAATACCTCAAGGTTTGGGAAACTTTTCTTACGTTTCCTCAAGCCACGTTCACTACATGCTTGGCAGTGGTTAAACACATGCTGGAGAGCGATGTAAGATACCAAATATGTTCAAATGTGATAAGTAATAGGACAGAACGATACGTGCTTTTGTTAGAAATCAGTAAGGAAATTAATGTGTACGATATTATAACGTGTAGATGTGAACAGAGAGAGCAATATTGGAAATGGAACTATACTGTTTGGTGGATCTGTCAAAAAGTATGAAAGCAAAATCCTAAAGTCATGCTATGACCTCTTAATCACCATACGGAAAAAAAGTATTCTAAAAGTTCATGAGTTTGTGATTCCAGTCCTCGACACGGTTTTGGAAACCGACCATCTACCCCTTCAGTGTTTCTGGACGTCCCTGCCGTGTGGCAGCAATGCAAGATAACATGCTGAATGACGTGTGACGTCAGAACTTCTTACTTCACTCGACTCTTTGAATTCCACGTACTGCTGTTTGGAAACTTCTCCCGACCTAAGCTTGTTGTTGAATGAATAATCACGTACGGTATACACGCCAGTCATTGATAAAACTGAGATGAACATACCAGGGCAAGTTAGGTCTTATAGAGTTTGGGGGTCATGATATCGCAATGGGGCTTGGTGTTTGGGCGTTTCCTATTCAGAAACCCCTGGGTTTTTTGGTTTTTTTTATACTGCCAGACACAGCGTATTCACTTTGCTTTTTTTCGGAGACAATGTACAGACAATGTTCGTATTGATACGTTATTAAACCGTTAAATTTTGAAACATAATGCTTAGCCCGTATAAAACAGGTGAGAAGGAAAACACGCACACATACACACAGACA